GTTTTCTATCTTTCATCTTCATCTCAGTGATTGGTTGTTTCTTTTTTTTTTTTCTTTTTGTATTTTTGTCTCATTGATCGTTTCTTTTTTTTTTTTTCTTGAAGGTGTTGGAAGTTTCTCTTCTCGCCTCACGACGAATTCATCCTTCCACAAGCAATGGACCGTGTGTGTGTGTGTGGGGGATGAGTGGGTGGGGGGAGGTGTTTGTATGGATGCGCACTGGCGTGAGAACATATCCTCCTTTCCTTCCGTACATGCAGATATGCAATGAGGTGTATGGCAATATATCAATGTGTTTGTTGTAAGTATTTGTGTGTGTGCACGTAGATATGTACGCATGTATTTGCATCTTATTATGATTGTTTTTTTTTGTTTTTGTTTTTGTCTTGTGTTCGTTCTTGTTGTGGTTTTTCTGCGTGTTTGGAGGTCGTGCGGGTTGGTGAGGGGGGTGAATGGCTTCAGTTTTTTTTTTTTTTGATTTACGCGTTATTGCCCTTCTGTGCGTGTTTTTTTTTCTTGTTGTGTCGTATTGTTGGCCCTCTTCCTTTTGTTGTGTTTTGTTTCACATTTCCCCCTCCCTCTTTCCCCTCTTTGTTAAATGGCCTTGTTTTCTGTGTGCATTTGTTTCCATGCGTGTCCTGCGTATGCGTTTGCCGTGATCGGGGCTCTAAGTAGACGTGGGATGAATGTACTGCACGTGTGGGAGGCACCTCCCACGCCATCTACGCTCTGCCTCTTGACGCGGGCATGTATTTTCCGATGCGTAGCGGCGAGGGCGACGGAACGGAGAAAAACAGGGGACGCATGCCGCATGTATGTAATGAAGTGGTAGGGGGATATAGGCAGACATACATGTATATATATATATGTATATATATATATATATACACGCACCTTCTTTTTTCTTCGTCTTTACAGCCACTCCACAGGCAAGTACAAGGCCACAATTTTTCGACGTGTGCGTGGTGCTGTGACACGGTGAGGGGTGTACGTGAGACATATGGCAGGAAACGCAATATTTGTGGGAGAAACATCTCTTTTTTTCTTTTCTCACTTTTTCTTTTCTGCTTTATTGATGTTTCTTTTTTAAATTCATTTCTTTTTTTTTCAGTTGTTGGTTCAGTTGGAAGGAGGGCACGATGGAGGGGGTAATTATTGGTGTCTCTTGCGTTTGTTTGTTTTGTTTTTTTTTTTCGTTTTTTTCGTTTTTTTTTTTTTCTTTTCTTTTCTCCTGCTTCCTTCCACCCCTCGCCGTCTCCACACTTCTCACAGTGACCCTATCTGCCCATCCGTTTCGTTCCCTTTCCTGCTGTGGTATAGATGAATACATTGGCCTCTATCCACATGCTCATGTGCACACGTGCTTACTTCTCTGTACTGACCCTCCTTTTTTATTTCCTGTTGATTCACGCTTCTCCCTTTCCTTCCTCCCCCCTCTTTTTTTACTTCTTGCTTTGTTTGTTTAGTTGCTTCTCTCCCCTCATCTCTGTCTGTCTGTCTGTTTGTCGGTGTGTGCGCGCCATATTTGTGGATCATTTTTTTTTTTGTTTGTTTGCTTTTTTTTTTCTTTTTTGATTTCTATTTGTCATGCATTAAAGACAACCGTTTACGCATGAAAGGGGTGCATGGGTACGTGCGGGCAGTCTCCGCGGAAGCGCGCCTTGCCACTATGATCCCTATGAGTACTACGATGATTATTGGCGGTGTGTCGCCTTTTGCCACATCATAGACACACACCCACACACAGTGAAATGGTAGACATTAAAAAAAATCAAAAACAACCACAGCAACAGCCATGACAACCGCAATATCAACAAAAGCCGATAATTATATGTTATGCGCATATGATGGTAACGCTTTCGTTGTGTCCTTGGAATTGTTTGCATTTATTTTTTGTTTGTGATTTATTTATGTTTGTTTTGGATGGGAGGGGTGTACGTGTGTGGTGAGTTGCATATATATATATATATATACATATATATATATATGTTACCTGCGGGGTGGACGGCGTTGACGTGAGGTGCTGCGCATAGATGCGTCTGCGTGTGTCTGTGTGACTTTTACGGCAACGGCGGCGCCCGCCGCCAACAGAATGATGATGATGATGGTGGTGGGTGCGGGTTTCTGTTGAGACGGCCCCGTAAAAAAAAAAAAAAAAGATTCTGATAGGTGGGTTGCAGTGCGTCCAACAGGCATCTGTGGCCATCCCGCCTATTTAATCTACGAGGATGCACGCACGTAAACATTTTTTTTTTTCCCTGCACGCCTTTTGTCCGGTTGTGTGCTTGTGTGTGTATTTTTCAGTTTTTATTTTTCTCTTTTTCTGTTGTTTTTTCAGTTTGGAGCGTTACGTAGGGGACTGGCTTTACCGTTCCAACCGCACACATCTTGTGGCGTTATCTGCACGTGTGCATCTCTCTCTGCGGTGCATACCGTGGAGGTGTGATGGCGGTAATTTTGTCATTTTTGTTCTCAACCCAAAATTCTCTCTTTTTTTAAAAAAAAACATTAAAAAAAAATATTTTCTTTTTGTTTGTATTTGCCTTCTCTCCACATTATTTTCTCACTGTATTTTTTTGCTTTTTTTTCCGGACCAAACAGGATTATGGAATATGTGGCATGCTTCTGCTTGCTTGTCCGTCAACTGACACTGTTTGCTTCTCGCTGCTCGTACTCCCCCCCCAGCTAAAGGCGTTGAATGGCTGTGAATTTTTGCGCAGCTTGTACACAAACGTAGGGAGGCACGGCAAAGAACAACAGCAACAGGCATCCAACGAAGGCAAGGACGGGAACTGGAATGAGTGGAATGACCAGCGCTGTGGGCATCGCCCCGTCATCTGCGGGAGTGAGCGAAGATGAGTGGTCGCTTTTGCTTGCCGCCTTTATTGGTTGCTTCGCTGCAGATGTGGAACGGGGGGTGGAGGAAAAGGAGGATGATTTGTTACGCACATGCGGGGTGGTGAAAGCTGACGCAGAACCTTTAGCCAGCACGGCGGGGTCCGCTAGGTATTATGCGTTTCGTGGCGTGCGCCGAGCGTTGCGGTATTTGGTGCACGACAATGATGCATTGCGGGCAAGGTATACGTTGGAACGTGTTGTGGACACGCTGGGTGAGGCGTTTTGGCGGCAGCTGCAACTGCCGCAGTCTTCTTTCCCCCACAGTGATGAGGAGGCGAGGGGCTCGGGGAGTTGTGATACGGCAGGGGGTGAGCAAGAGATGCTGCAGCTGCTCTACAGGCTAGCAGGTATATTTCCATACAGCACCACGACATTGAATGCCGCCCTACCCGCCGAGCTCCTGTACATGGTGTACTACTTGGCCTACACACACTGTGCCCCGCAGGCGTGGCAGTCAGAGGCGACCCACAGTCGATGGGCTCAGCTTTTTTTTCTGCCATTGCTCACCACCTCTTCGACGGCGACGACAATGACCATGATGACAGATGTCACAGCAGCTACGGAATTATTTTCTTCACAAGCGCATGGACTTGAAAGGAGGGCGCAGGCGACCGAAGTCGAAGATGGGCGCTCTCACGTTACGCAACTTTTTTCACGCTGCATGTCTGATAGCGAAGTCGAAAATGTTTTGCTGTTTATTGATGCATACCATGCGTGGCTCTTGCGCGATTACCGCGGGGTGCTGGAACACACGGAACAACTCTTTCAGCTATTGCTGGTTGGGGGAGAGACACAACCGTGTCTGTTGTGGGTTATGCTTCACTCATCACGTTTTATGAATGTCTGTGCGACTATTGCGGTGACAAACATGTCACACTCTGAGACGAGGGACACGGTAAAGGAGCGCCTCCAGCGGATGAGAGAAGAATACAGCGGAGCTGCTCGATTGCGTTCTCGAAGCCCTGTACGAGGGGTTGACACGCCGTTGCATGCGTGCCCACCTTTGATGCGCGCTGCTTACGACTTGCTTCATTGTGAGCTTTCGCTTGGCGAGGGCGCGGACCCCTACGAAAAGGGGGATGACAGCTGTCGCCATGACGAGGAGCATCTACGGCAATTGATGGCGGCCGAGAGCTGGCAGGGCACATTTCTGCTCACATTGCGGGTGTGGTTGCGGGCAAAGCGGCTGACTGAGGAGGGACACATGGCCGACTCAAGAGACCTTCTTCTCCACACTTTGGAGCGACTCTACGACCGCAGCTGCATGAGCACGAAGGAGGGTCAGAGCTTCATCACAGTCTCTCCACCTCCACCCGCTGTTGCACCGACCACCACGAACTCTGCTGGTGTTGTTGGTAGTGCGAGTGGTGCCACTAGAGAAGCGGCCTCCAGCTCTGCAGGTGAGGGCAACATGTACGTAGTGGTGTATCTAATGCCTTCCATATGGCTTCGACAGTTGTTGCTGTTAAATTGCGCAGCTCTTGCTGACACAAGAACCCTACTTTACTTTCTGCATTGTCTACGACAGCCGCTAGCGCTTGCTGAATTGTTGTACCTTGCAGTTTGTCCAACACTTGCTTCAGGCGGAGTGCATTCCCCCATTCTTGCCTCATTTTCAATGGATGAGGTGGGTGAAGTACAGTCTGTGCTCAATATGAAGGAGTTAATGCGACGAATGCCGCTTACTGTGCGAGTACCATTGTTATCTCATCGTATCTGGAGGCTGCGGCAACGACTCCTACAGAAACTGTTGCAAGTACCAGGTGAACATGCTGAGGTTGACGATCATCGTGTCTCTCTCCAGAAGGAGATGATACAGCTCTGCGAGTCTCTTGTGAGGAGCGCGCGAGGCCTGTTTGGTTCATTGGAGCTGAGTTTCACTGACTGTGTCCCGCATCGTGTTGTGTTTGATGCCATCACGATGGCCTGTGACATGCAGGAGGATATTCTTCACAACGCCGCCTTGTCGTTGGCAACGGCTCCTTCACTTTCATCCCCATTTTCACCGTGTGGAGGCAGCAGCAGCAGCAGTAACAACAGCAACAACAGCGATAGCAGCAGTGATGAGTACACGGACCTCATAATGACTGGGCCACCAAACACAAGCGCTACGGAGACGAATGCACCTGCTAGCTTACCGCCGTCCTCTGCCACTGCATTGGAAGGCGGTTCGCTTTCATACTTTGCTCCTGTGACGCATGCCAGTGGGCATAGCAGGAGAAGCAGGGACACCACTAACCCAAGCCACTGTGGCGACGGGGGTAGTGATGGTGACGGTGATAGCTGGTTACGAGTGACTTGTCCACCGTTGTTGGTGTCACCATCGGAACTCAGTCAAGAAACATCTTTTGTCGCATCTACTGCAGTGATGGCGCAAGAGTTGTATTGGGTTGCCTACAGAAAGGCACATGAGTGGGTGGAAATTCTTCAGTGTTTCTTCCCGCATTTATCCCTTATAGTGCAGGTATGCCAGCTGCGTGTGACCGCCGCAGCCTTCGACAGGGGAAGCGTGCATCTTGCTCGGCACCTGCTTGCAATGCACAAGGGAAACCCGTTGGTCGCCTCACACGTTGCGTTGGCGCTCTTTGCGAGCCTTCATGTGGTTTCAGCAGAGCGGTGTATTCAGGAGGCTCTTCAGCAGTACCCTCACTCAGCGGAGATACGACGTCTTTACTGCGCAATATGCGGCCAAAACAACGTTTCGAGACAAGAAGTGCAGAATCACAGAGGTGAGGAAGCAAATACAGGGCGGGTTAAAAGGAGTTTGATACGGCCTGTTTTTACGCATCTTTATCGCGGCGTGCTTCCGGTGAAATATATTACCTGTGACCACCATGGGTACGCGGCTGTGTATGCACCACTCGCCATGTGCCTTCTTTGCATCGGTGCTCTTGCAGCCGCTTTTGTGTTGCATTTGAAGGACGTTACCTCTACTGCTGCAAATGCCTCTCTCACTGATGATGCAGGTTTCCGCTGGTCTTTTGTGCTGCCTTCGACTCTGTCAACGTATTTGGGATTCGGAATTGTGGTGTACGCGTTCACAGCTGCGGCGGTGATCCCTTTTCTTGCATCGTGTGGCGCGGGCGCAAACAATCAAACCCGTCACATCGAAAATTTCCTGCGAGCGCTTATGGAGTGGAACGGTTTGGAAGATGATGGCCCAAATCGGCTTGTTTTTTGCTTGCGTGGCCTGCCCTTAGTCAACCTGTTGACGGGCGTTCAACTCGCCGTGAGCAATGCACTTCGGCTTAAAACGCATACAGGGAAACTCTGCACTCCCAACGGTACTGTAAGTCTTCCCAATGCCTGTAATCGCCTCTTCACGGGATGGGGCACGGTGTTGATACTGCTTTTGGTCTTTCTCCTTACGGTCGCCGTACTCTTTAATGGGCGTGGATGGCGGGTGGTGCGCTACTGTGATGTCATGTTAGGCTCATACGCAACATTCATCACAATATTTATTATAGACGTTGCTTTTTTTTTATTTTTTATTCCGTTCCTCTTCCTCTGTTGCGTGGTGTTGGAACCAATTATGTTTTTTATCAATGCCATCTTCGGCGTCGCCCTCGCATCACCGCTGGTTATGGAGCACATTCCAAGTGTTTCAAGAGACAAGTTCCTGTCCACACCCATTTCCTCCCACGCAACCGCAACTGCTGTGGATTGCTGGGGATCGATGGCGTTGTCTCCAGAGCAGGTGACCTCCCAGGTGTGTGGAAGGCTACGTGCAAGCATGCCACCGCTTCACTGGTCGCCCTCTCGATACCACGATTGTTCACTTCTCTGTTTTCACGAGGTGCTGCAGCCGCTGGGCAAAGGTGGTGGCGATGCCTCCCAAGCACCCAGCGGAGCGCTGTTGCAAGTCTTGAGAGGACTTGCATCCCGCGGTGTCGCAGGCTGCGCCTCTATGCAGGCTGCCGTGAATTGGCGCGTTCATCGCACTCGTCAGCAGAGTGAGGCAGCGGTGCAGTTAGCGCTTTTGCGTGAGAGTTTCACTGCAGCGGCCTCCCCGGCGCCGGCCAAAGCAAACTCCGCGCTAAACAACGTGTTGGGTGCTGCCACAGCTGTTGGGGTCGATAAACGTGGGAGTTCCTTCACTGTACCACCCCGATGGAAGCCGAAGTCTGCGACTCCGTACGGCTAATTTTGTGGCGGGCCTTCCTGTGCGCCCAGCTTGCTGTTGCCGTGTTTTTTGGTTTGTTTTTTCACATCATCACCGTGTAGGGTTGCCCAGAGCCTTCCCCTCCATGTTGTACGTGCTGCTGGCTTGAGTGTGGCGTACTTTTGGGTGGGGCCCGTGGGATCCAAGTAGGGAGGGGGAAAATGTAGGTGAGAAATACCTGAACCATTGCGTGCTGAATACCAAGTGCTCAGAACCGGATTATGGCGATGTGTAGTTTTTTTTTTTCGTTATTAGTTGTGCGTGGGGAGTTTGTATTAATTTTAATTTTTGTTTGTGTTTATTATTATTATTATTATTATTATTTTTGTTTTGTTTTTCCACTTGAGTTTCTTTGCTGTTGCATTGTGGGAGCTAAGTGAGTTCTACTCCCTCACTCTTTGCTTATGGGCTCATGTGAAGCTGACTGATGCATCCCATTTGCTCCACACTTTCATTCTTTTTTTTTCTTTTTGCCGGTTCTCGATGAGTGGGCGTTCGGGTTTTATTTTATGCTTTTTGTGTTGACTGTCTCTCTTTGTTGCTGCTGGGTGGCTTTGTGGCTGCTTGACGCGTAGTGCCTCGCGTTTGCGGCGCCTTGTGAGTGTGGTTCCCTGCATCTCTTGCCTTGCTTTTGTCTTTAGCTGCTGTTTAGCTGCGTTCGCTCTCAAGGGTGCACGGTAGACTGGCGTCGGCAACGCTGCGGCTGGTTGGGCGGTGTTAGAGTGTGCGTGCGTCTGCTGATGGAGGTGACAGGCCGAACCACCGCAGGAGAATCTCCGTCATTGATGCAGCTTGGATCAACCCCACACGCAACGCCGTTGGAAAGCTGTCTTTTGGCGTCTCCAGTGGGAACCGCTTTGAAGTTGCCGGCGGTGGGTCAGAAGGTGGGTTCGGAAGGTTGGGGTCGCGGGGGACGTCTGCGTCACAACAAGACACGTCCAAATGCGTTTCAGGAGGGGGAGGTAGCCCTTCTTTTTTTGGATGACAGCACCGAAGGGAAAAGAAACGTTACCATGACAGATTGCGAAGATCGTATTGGCGACACTAGGCGGCAAACTTTATTGAAAGCCTCATTGGAACGCAGGGCGAGAGAGCCTGCCGCAACGTTTGTGACGCCGCTTACGTTGAGACCACAAAGCGTGACATCGCAGCACATGCTGCGGACATCACCCAGTGGCACTCCAAAGATGGACAACGCTGGTACCGGGGTGGATTTTCTTTTAACGTGCAGTGACGCGTGTCGAACCTCTGGGCAGCAGCGGGGTCGGCGCGTGATAAAGAACGTTGTAGAGTACGACCCGAAATCGTACAGTGAGCTGCTTCCAGCCACGCTTAAGATGCGTAAGGTGAGGGATGTTGAGAGCGGAACGGTGTCAAGCACAGCCGTAAGTGAAATGTTTGCGAAACGTGATGCTCGACATACCAACCGTGGGGTGTCATCAATGAATGACAAGAAAGCTCAGCGGGTGCCTTTGGTGGAGTTGCAGGAATTTGTTAGGACGATGAATCAGCTGCAAGAGCGGGGAAGACACATGCGACGCCGGTGGAGACGATATATGCCGTGTGTAACGGCGGTGAGTGGTGGTGCTGTTAGGATGCTCAATGAAGATGATGATGACACGAGCTCCGAGGGTCTACAGGATCATAACAGTGACGGGGAGTTTAACCTGACATTGTCGAAACGACAGCAGCCGAAGACGGAAGCCACCAGGGCATCGATTTTCTCATGGCATGAGGAGATGAACGCACTTCAGAAGCATGGGGACAACACGCGGGGTGCAGTGCTGCTGCGGAGTGAACTGAAAAAGAGTCAGCGTGAGGTGGCAAAGGCCCGTCAAGGCGTTACCGTTGCAAGTGTGCAGATGATTCACAATGAACCAACGAGATACAAAGACGCTGATGAGGAAGAGCAAGGAGAGCTGTGGGAGGAGCCACCCCATTCTTCTCTAGAGGACATATCATGGAGGGCAGAGAATGAGGTTTCGCAGCGCGTTGCTGCTATACCGTCAGATGTTCCTCCTGCATCTGGGGCTTTGAAGGAAGCGGAGGACTGCGGTAACACCCACAGTAATAGGGAAAAAAGTCAAGATAACACCATAGTGGCCGGTTGCATCAGCCCCCGACTTGGTAGTCTACTGCATCGTGGAAAGGGCACAACGGTGTATGGACTTAACCTTGGTCGTAAGCGTGGCAGTTGTAAAACGCAGTTCCCCCACCTGCGTCCTAAGTCGCCGTTGTCATCACTACCCCATGTGCCGGGATTGCCATTTGCCATGAGTACACCTGCACCCTTGCCGTCTGACGCAAAGCCTAAGGCGGAGCGGAACGCGTGTCGCACTCACCACCACACGACATTAACATGGCGACCCCTTCCTGTTGAGCATGGTGTGGGGGAGCAGTCTAGCCTGCGGTTTAAGGCGCAGGTTACGCAGGGGCGCCTGGAGGATTGCCAGTCGGACATACTAGACGGGGAAGCTATCCTGCGTACACGTGAGCTTCTGCTTGAGCTGCGACCGACACGAGCGGCGCTGCTCAATGAGTCGCTCAAGCACTCTCACAGGAACGCAAGGGCTATTCTACAACAACACCGACAATGCATATTTGAAAAGGTTGCGGAGAAGGACTCTGAGAAGCGAAAGGAAGCGTGCCTGGAATATGTTAATCTCCTCGAGCAGGCCTACTGCGGCGAGGTTGCTGAAAGCTCGTTGGCTGCTGTGACAAGCGCATTGCAAAGTGTACGGAACCTCATCTCTGTCTCGCCTAAACGCTGCAATGCGCGCAGCTATAGTGCTCTTCTCATGGATCACTTTGTAATGGCGCACCTCACTGAGCTGCCAGTCCGTGACCTCCTTTGGCGGCTTGCAGAACTGTTTGATATGACAACGACACAATACAATTATGCCCTGTGGAACGCATACCAAATGCTCAACACCCCGCGGGACTATCAGGCACGATTTCGGGAGATTGACCACACAATTGTGGGTATTCCGGCGCCTGTGGAGCGGCGGGTTCGTCTCACGCTTCACCGCTGTCGCTTTTTGCAGGCCAATGCCTCCGTTGGCACAGCACACATTGTTTCTGGGACAGGGGGAGAGAGAGTCAGGGACTTGGCCGAGGTTTCTGTGCAAATAAAGAGTGAGCACCAGGTCTTCCTATCCACGGCTGTGCGGGCGCGCGTATGCAGTGATGAGGAATTGTTTAGCTGGAACGTCTCCCGAAGAGACGAAAAGTCTCCTTCCCTTTGCGGTGCAAATTTCATGGATCAGGTTTTTCGTCTTCAGCTTTGCGAAAACACCGAGTTGTGGGTGGGGCTTCTGCACAACGGCCTGGTGATGGCGAGTGGTAAGTTTAGCTTGTCGGACTGCACCTTCAATGTGCGTGGTCTCGCGCTGCTGTGGCTTCGTCTGTCGGGCGGGGAGGCGGCGGAGGCGGAGATCAAGCTCACCCTGGCGTTACTTGGCGAGAAGCATCCACACAAGAAGGCCCTGCGGAAGTGAAGTTCCACGCCTTGTGCTGTTGCCATGCAGGGAAGGCAGAGGAGGAGTACCCGACACATGTGCTACAGAAGGGAAGAACAGAAACGGGAATCATCCACAATTCCTGCCGATTCAAGAGAACGGGAATAGAAAATTTTTTTTTAAAAAACATGTGTGAATCCTCCTATGAGGCTTGCGAAGGGTCATGATGCGTGGCATTCAGCTGTAGACACGTTCTGTTTACTCCTTTGGGTTGATGCTCAGTCACCCAGTAATATGGCTTGTTTGAGGTGTGAAACTCGCCTGTTTTTTTTTGCTTTGCTTTGCTTTGCTTTTGTTTCTGTACCCAACCCACCTGCTATATTTCCTGCTCGGCTGCAACTGCCTGTCTGCACCCACCACACAGGGACACACGGATGTGAATATGCATGTACGTGTATATTCGCTTATATGTATGAGTGCCTTTTTTTTTTGTGTGTGTGTGTGTTATCTCGTCTATACCTGCAACATATTTTTTTTCTTTTCTTTTATGTGTGTCTTTGTGCCTTTTTGGCTTCTCCCGTTCTTCTTGTCCCCCCTCGCCTTTCACCCGTTGCGGCCGACCCACCGCCCCACACATCTCTTTTTTTTTTTTTTTTTGGGAGATGTGCAATTTGGCAGTGCAAAATGGCGTACGTTGGCACGATTATCACGACTGTGATTGGGGACAGTTTCGCTACCTGACACGCCTGTCGTATTTTTCTTGTCTTCGAACGAGATCCCGGCGGAGGGAAAGTTATGCATAGGGCATTTTAGCCACGGGGTCTATGCGAAAAAAGGGCGTAGGAGGGGTGGCCGATCCCTAGCCGAACTTTCCTTTTGCAAGTTGTGTTGACTGCAACGTTTTGTTTCTGTTGTTACCGGTGAGCGGCGGCGTGCGTGGGTGCAGTTTGTTGTTGGTGGATGGCGTAGTTTGGGCAAGTTGTGTTTGTTGAGGGTTGCCCCCCCCCCCCCCCCAACCCCACCACCACCACCACCACCACCACCACCACCCGGAACGTTGACGATGCCTCTTCTCCTCTTTCCTCGCTGTGCGCCACCGGGTGCAGTCTGTGGAACCTGCGAGCGACTTAGCAGGAGACGAAAGTAGAGGAAATAAATTCACGAGACAAAGGATTTAGGGGTTGGCCTCGCAGCAAGTGCCGTTGGGTGTTTGTGCGGCTTGGATGGGAGGAGGGAGGAGGACCGCCGCCGCCCTTGTGGCCTCTACGACCTTCGCAGCGGTGCGGCTGCGACGCATCCTGCACCTGGCGACGCAGCAGCAGCCACGGCATTGCAGTAGCACCACCGCCACCACCAGCTCCTCTTCGTCGAGACAAAAGTTTCATTACCGACCGCACCAACTCAGTGGCAAGGGCAGAGGTGGTGCCAACTCGGGCTTCGAGGCTTATTCGACAACGACAGCATCTTCCTCGGCGCATCTCTCCCTGGATTTGCTTGCGCCGCCTTCCACACTGACAGTGGACGCCGCTGTGGAGTACATGGCAGCACTGCGTGGCTTGCATCGTTCACTTGGCGTCACTGCATCTTCGTCACGCGTTCGTTGGCAAGCACGGGAGTTTCTGCTTCGGGGCATGCCAAGCCCAAATGCGAAGGAATTGCAGGCAATATGGACGATGACAGAAGGGCTTGCCTGTGCAATTATAGTCTCCTGTGCATATTTTGAGGTTTCCATCTCAGAGTGCATGTATGGAGCTGAAAGTATCGAGTTTCTGCAAGGTATTTGGCATACGCGCCTGCAGTCATCCTCCACCTCATTGCTAATGTGCACTTGTGACGAGGCCATCTTGCTAGGACGGTTAACCATGGCGGTCCTGGGACTTTTAACTAACCGGGTTCTGTATGTGAAAGTAGACGACTATGAGTTGTTATCGCAGTTGTTGTGCAAGACACTTTTGCCTGCCGTGATGCGTGTGCTGCGTGACGACGTCATCTTTCCCTTCCCTGCCGCGGGAGAAGATGGAGATCGGAGTGAGCTGACGGCTGCACAGGCCACAGCCTTCACTGTACTACTCTCTTCCTTGACGAAGGCAGCCGTGACACATTGGGCTCGAACGAGCGGTGAGTCAGAGGGAATTGTCCTCTTTGGCACGCCGACTGATCTGCCGCGTCTTCTTGAGGGTGCTCCGCATCTTCCGCGTGCAGTTCAGGTGACCGTCCCGGCGTTGCCGCCAGCGAAGTTGGCGCGAGGCGTATACCACTACGCTAGTGGTCTCACGCCCTCTCGGGTGAGGGAGGCGGCATTGCCACTGCTTCGCTTCTTTACACTTACCCAATGCGTTCCACTTTTTCTTGCACCGCATGATACATGTGTTCAGTACGATGGGAACAATGGCAGCAATGGTGGTGATGCACAAGAAGCACACACGGCATCACTCGTGAAGTCCATCACACGCGTCCTACAAGCGTCACTGGAGCACCGCACCGTTTTTGTCTCACATCAAGTGGCAAACATTACCTCGATATACGCCCGCATCCTTTTATTCTCTCCCAGAGCTCCAGGGAAGGTGATGGGGAAGGATGGAACTGCTCTTGTTGTTGCTTCTGCGCCATGGCTCATGTTTGAGAGTCTTATGATGGGGTTAAAGCGCAACATCCTGTATCATGTGGGTCCGCTCTCACCCATTGCAGTGATGCCTCAGTTGTGCGAGTGTGTGACGTTGTTTGCGAGAAAGTATCTTTTTTCAGATATGGCTGCCTTGCTTAACGCTCTTTCGAAGATTTTTCGGGTCGTTTGCGAGTACCACAGTCATATGGCCACACGACAGCCGCAGCGGCAGCAACGTGTCCTGTTGGACAAGGGGGATGCTGTACGCCCTCGCTTCGAGCGACGCCGAACGACGGCTTCCGCTGTGATAACAAACGACGCGTCGGCGGATGCAGGACATTCGTCCACTACACCATTATCACCACCGCCACATTTGTTGTTGACGGATACGTTTTTCGTTGGCAATGACGACATTGCGGAAATCGAAGGTGAACTTGAGGTACTTTTAGACGCATGCGTTGCTGTCATGGAGCGGCACCTGCCAGCTTCCTGCGATAGTCGTCAGGTGTTTGTCGCAAAGTCGTCTGTTCCTCCGTTAGCGGCGCATTTGAGCAGTCATGACGGAGGCTCCATGGTGGTGCGGGAGGAGACAGCCGTTTCGCTTGCTGGGGTTGGCGCTTCGCAGGCGAAGACACTTGGCGGAAGAAGCCGTCGACTAAAGAGGACGGTCTCCAGCAGAGAACTTGTTATGATTGCGGAGGGTGTTCATGCCCTGAGCTGGCGGCCTTTCATGGCCTTCCAGGAGCGCCTGTTGACACTACTTTCATCTCACGTGGGGCAAATGGAGGCGACTCCGTCTGAGTACGCATGCCTTGTTCGGTTTGTGCTCCGTGCACCCCCCGTGCCTCCGTCTGTCATTTTTCACTCCGTAGGGGATCGACTGAAGCGACTGATTCACGCAGAGGCGGTTCCGGCCGTCTCCTCGAAGGGTGAGGGTCACGGCGACATGCAGAAGAGCACCGAGATAATTGCCTCTTCAGAAGAAAAAGAAGAAGAAGCAGCAGCATCAGGAGCGCGTGTGGTGATTGCTGCGGCGCATGCTCGGTCGTTGTGCGACAACCCACTTGCTCTGTACGACGCCTGTGCGGTTGTTTTTGCCTTTGCACAGAAGTTGAAAAAATCGGCCCTCCCGTTGTTACATGATCTTCTTGTGCGCTGTGGCCAGCGGGTTACGTTGGCGTCTGAGTCACCACAGGGTTTGTGCAATGATTCGGCCACTTCTGCAGCCTTGGCGATGTTTGTGGCCAGCGCCACTTGGGTGCTTCATCATACCGCGCCTATTTCACCAGAGGATCATGCACTAACTTTTATTGCGGTGTCCCGCGACCATGCGGCTCACATTTTGGATGCCAGGACTTCAGAGGAAGCGAGTTATGCGGCCACAGGTTTCCTCCCTTTTAGGGAGCTGGCGTACGCGTGTATGATGTTGGAGTCCTCGTGCGACTCCCGGTGTGGGGCTCCCCTGACACAGCTTCGCCGTGCTCTGCGCGAGGCCTACATGGCGTGTGGCTCCCGCTGCGATAGCATGGAGGTGGCGCAGTTTCTTGCCGACTATCTCGCAATCCCCTCAATGGCTATGTCGTATGGCAACTCTGTGACAGCACCGAATGCGAGTCAGGAGGGGGCGGCGCTGTTGCAGCTCTCGCCATGGATGATTGATTCGTTGCAGCTGCGGCAACGAGTTTCCAGTAACACGAGACTTCTTCTTGTGATGTTTACTCCATTTCTCGGGGATGGCAGTGACAAAGTCACGCGGATTTTGCATGTCACCCGGTTGTACTGTCGCACCTTTGCAACACTTGTCACAACACTGCGACTGCTGCGTGCTGCGAATGCCGAGCTGCTGCGCGAGGATGCCGTTCTCGAGGTGGTGCTTCGAAAGGTCGCACAACTGACGCGTCGGACGGCACTTCCACTGGAGTTGTTTCAATTTTTCGAGCTCTACGGCGACTGCCCACAAGTGGTCGCTGCGTGCCTGAGTGAGCTTCTGTCAGAGGCGCGATGCTTCGGCGCGGTCAACGCCTTTGTTCCTATTGTTCAGGTAAATGCTGCAGTGCGGGCAGTACGACGACTGCAACTGCGGGAGCTGCGGCGGCGTTGGTTCGCAGCAATGACTCCGCTTATTGTCTGCGCCGTCTCCTCGTCGCGCGAGCCCCTTGACGTCGTGCTAGAGTTAACGGAGTGCATCGGCAACGACGACCCGGAACTACTGCAGTCTGTGCTAAAGTCTTCTGCCTCCATGCAGATGATTCATCAGACCTTCAGCTACACGGTGGCCGGGGATGTGTTGCTCCGCTTGCTCTTGCAGCTTCAGAGCGCCAACACAGCGCACCCGACCGTCCGCTGCTTGCACGCGGCAGCGCGCAAGCTATTGCAGCGGAGCAACATATACATTCCGCTGGAGCAACTGGCACAGGCCATGCTGCTGCCCTCTCTCGAGGGGACAACCCTTGGCAGGCGACTAAAGAAACTGTTTGTGTTTCGTGTGACAACTCTTCTTGGCGTCACGCGGTCGCGTGCCACGCGCTGCAAGGGGACTGCCAGAAACAAAGTGTGTAGAGGACCGACCCACCACGACGGAGCGACACTCTCGCTGGGATGAATCGTTGAATCGCCTTGAACTGGAACACTGGATGACGCTTTTGCGCTTTACCCATGTGGGGGAGCCGTCGTCGCACCGCTTAGTGATGACCATCAAACAGGACAGGGAAGAAGCTGCACACCGAAAAGGGAAATCAACGGTTTCAGCTTCTGCAAACGGAGAAAATGTATCGGCGGCGGCAGCAGCAACAGTGAGCTGTCGTGAAGGCGCAGCTTTACCACCCATTGGGGAGAAACCAGAGGAGCATGCGGGTGGCAGCGAAGTTGGAGAAGCGGATGACAAACGGTATCGCAGTTTGGCATATTTTTACGCCTTTTCAGAGCACACTATTTTGTGCCTACGGCGGTCCTTGGGTGCGTTTCACTTCATAGCGTTTGTGTGTGAGCTGCTGCGTCAGGCTTCGTGTCTGCCGCCTGATACAGCGTCTGCGCAGGAGTCCGCGTCAGAGGAGCGCCGATTTATGTATGACGGCAGTGCCTCACCACTTTCGGATGAACGTGTGTGGCCATTTGTGCGACTCGCAGTGGGCTTGGTGGATGAAATGTCGGCTGACTTGGGTGGATTTCTTCGGCGTGAGACAGAAGAACGACATCGGTTGCGCCACTGTGAAGGCGAGACTGCACCCACTGGGAGTATGGAGGAGGGGGCGGAGGTTGTTTTGAACGTCGGGGCGGTGTTGGAATTCTTGAGGCTGCTGGACACCTACGATCCGTTGCGTCATGAACGGCGACTCCAGCCGCATCCATCATTCCCATCAATGTCGTCACCGTCTTCTTTAACGTCTGCGGCGCCAAATGTCTTTGACGACGCTGTTCAGATTCCACACCGTCATCTTTACCGAGTGTTGTTGCAGGTGCCGCAGCATTGGGGCGAAGTAACGCCTTTGGCGACGCCTGCTGACACGCCGCGCGTACGTCTGCAAAATATATCGTCGGTATTTGACTACTGTAGCACGTCAGCTGAATTTGACTCGCTGTTTGGACCGTTCGACACCTCTATGGAAGCGCATCGTTGCTTGTCCAATATTTTTGGCGCTGATCGCCCGCTCATAACTGATGTGTGGCTTCCCCTCACCGCACTGCAGTCTCAACAGCACCGGATCGACAAGTGTGTTAAAAGGCTGCTGTTTGAGGCGTTGATGCGTTGCCTGGTGCGTGACAGGGAGTCGCTAGCCACTACGAGGGCGCGGTTCGCGGCACTTGGCCCGCGTGATTTGGCCTGCGTTGCACAGACGTGTCTCCGTGGTGATACCTGGAATACCATGGGAAACGATGGCCATAACTACCAGGTCGGTGACGCGCGGCGGCGCAGCAGGGAGGCAGAGGCGGTGAGTGCGCTTGAGTTGCTCACAGACATGCTGCCAAGTGCCACGGCAGAGGACATTCATGACATTATCGTCGTGCTGCTGCCGCCCCCTTCCGCCGGGGCTCGGCGAGACGGAGACGATGGGGGCGCGTCGTATGCACCGTTTCATGGAGAGTTCACGGAGGTGCGACGCTTTCTCGCTCACGTTGCTGTTGTCATAGGCAACGACACGGAGCGGTTCCCGCCACCAGTGCTCTACGACATTATTTTGCGCCTGCATGAGCCGCACCGCCTCGTCGCTCCTGCCGCGGCTCGCATGATGTTAACAAACCTCCACGCGGGCGATGATGCAATCAAGCAACAACCACCGCTGGAGAATGAAGACGAGGCGGAGGCCTCGGCGGAGGCCGAGGAGGGTGATGGGGACCAGGTGCTGGAGGAAACCGCCGGCGGGCCAAGCAGGCAGCGATGCTACACGGCAACTGTTGCTCTTCTACGAAGTATCGTCTCGTCCGCTTCTTCCTCGTCGTAGGCAGGAAATATGCCACTGCAGCAAGGGCCACAAGTGAGACGTGTGCGGTCGATTTTTACATAACTCTGAGTTTTCTTTGGTGCGTGCTTACGTCAATGTTTTTGCTGTTCTTGATGCCGTCCTTTTGTCTTTCTCAGCGCAGCTGCGCTCGAATAGCGACCCGGCTGGACGGAGTCGGTAAGCATGCAGCACGGGTGCCGCAGTAGCGATGCTCTCAAGACCGCGGGCGTGGACGCATTGAAGCGGCAACGCAACCGACACGCACACACACACACAAAAAAAAAAAACGAAGAAACGAAAGATGGACCGTGTAATTATTTTGTGGTATGCCGTTTGTGCTTTCGTGCGCGTGGGTGGGGGACGGATTGCATGGATGGACTCCGCGGCTGCGGCATGTTCCTCTGCTCTTTTTTTTCTTTTTTCTCTCACTTGTAATTAATGCACGTGCGTGTGTGCGTCTGGTTTTGTACGCGTTAACGGTGAAGTAATTCTCGGGAAGGTGCAGAAAACACGGCAAAATCACAAACAAACAAACGAGCGGAAAACAAAAGGAGAAAAGGGGAATTGATTTTATTGGTTTCCTGCTGCATTTAGCGTGACAGGGTAGTGTTGGTGCTGCTTTGGCGTGGCGTTGCCGCGGCCCCGTCGCTCTCATTTCCCCCCCGTATTCTTATTGGCCCATTGCTGCCACATGAACGCAACACCGCAGACGGCGGTCGATGATGAAATTCAACGGCGACTGTCAAAACTGTCCGCCTACAAACAGACGGAGTACCACTGCGTGGAGGCCATCGCGGCACTGCGTCAGTTGCTGCGGGAGGTGTTGGAGCTCGAGGGACACGCGTCCGGCTCCAACGGCGATGGCCCCAGTGACAGCGGCGGTCGTGCAGAGCTGGCGAAGGCACATCATGCGGTGCGGCGCGCCCATCAGCAGCTGAACAAGCTTGCGAAAGAGGCCCAACGTGCGTCACGTCGCGAGGGCGGCGAGTATGAGGCCGACCTGAAGGAATTATTGCGGCATGTGGAGAGCGCCAAGCGCTGGTACCGCGAGTGCTTTCGTGTCGGGCCGGCAGGCGGCGCGGCATATCAGCCGCAGAGTGATGTCGGTAGCGCGCTTGACGACGAGGGTCAATACACGCGCTCACCCATGCGCAGTGGGGCCACAGATTTGACCACCCCGTTGCTTGCAGTGAGTAGTGACGGCCGCAGCCGTGGCGCGGGCAGCTGGTGCGCCGATGCCTGTGCACCGCGCCCCACCGTCTCTGATGAAGAGTTTCTTGTTTTTGCTGATGAGGTGCGGCGAAACGATGACCTTGCCGAAGCCGCATTGGATCGCATCTCACACGGCCTCTCGCGGCTCCATGAGAATGCACTGAGTGTGACCTCCGAGCTGCAGACGCAGAGGCAACTTCTAGACGATGTGGAGGGGAAAGTGGACACGACCCACACAAAACTCAGCAGAATGAACATACGGCTACGTAAAATCCTATCGGATAAGGGTAGATGTGACTGGTTTATGTATGCGTTCTGCTGTGTACTGTTGCTTGGCGTGATCGTTGCAATTGCCGTCCTGATCAAGTCGTGAGATACTTGGAAATTCTAATTGAATAGTCGCCACATGAACAACAAACGATGTTTTTGATTGCTTCGTGCAGTATCAATGCACCACCATTCCCCCCCCCCCCCTCCTCCTCCCTTCACTACCAGTACACTCCACCAAATACGCGACGCTGTCGTACGCAGTGGCGTTGTGTACGGATATGGAGCTGTGATCTTGCGATTTACGTGAAGATCCTCTAGAAAACGATGTTTCACGTGGAGCTGATTATTTCCGCCACGTCTCTGCATGCGGCTTCTTCTTCTTCTCTTCCTGCACTTCCACACTCTACGTGCGTATATGAGGGGTTTAGTGTCTGTGCGCTTCTCTCACTGGTGCTGTTGCGCGTCTGGTTGTTGCGGATGACTCCTGCAGTGAAACAAAGGCGTGGATTGACCTCAACGGCGGGGTCGTAGCACTTGGCAGGCTACTCAGATGCAACCCTCGCAGCGGACGTGCCGGAGGAGCACCTTTTGTTTAAGATGTAACAGTGAGGGGAAGAAAAGTAAACCATCTGCATCCCTGCGGGGAGAGTGCGCGAGGGACACTGCTGTTGTCGATAAAAGCTCATCGAAGAAGTGCAGTCATACAAATAAAATATACGTGTGTGTATGTGTGTGGCCGTAGACGGGGTCTTAGTAAATGACTATTCCCACAGTCGGTGATACTGGATGAAGTTTGTGTGTTGTTGCCGGATACCTTAAGCTTCCACTACCCCCTTCCCCCCCCCCTCCCTCCCTCCCTCTCCTCTTTGTTTCCCTCACCATCGGCATCTAAGAAGCAGTAATTAGGGTTTCCAGAATGATCTCCAGCATCAGCGGCTTCCTCAGCCTCAACAACCTTGACATGACGAGCAGTGCCAACGATGTTATCGTTGTGCGTCACCCCAACGGCCGGCTCTTCAGCACACCATTTAACGTGCGGTTTGGAAAGGTAAAGGTCCTGCGCCCAAGCGACAAGGTGGTGCAGGTGGAGGTGAATGGCAGGCCAACCTCGGCGGTGATGAAGACCGGCTCGGACGGAGAGGCCTTTTGGCTTAAGCCGACACGTTGGTCCGAGAGAGATGGTGGAAGGCCCGAGTCACCGCTTGCTGCCTCCGACGCGTTTCCGAGTAGTAGTGCCACCCAGCAGCGTGATAGCTGCAACAGCAGCGCGCGCGGGAGCGTGGAGACTTTGCAACCAACAGAGCCGGTCACAGGAGCGGTGTCACCGCCAGCTGTGGACACAAAGACAGACGGTAGTGCTGCGACGGAGCCTCTTCTGGAGGAGGACCAGGAGGGGCACCTCAAGGTGAATGCGGTGGTGAGGAAGTCGCTGAATGACCTCAAAGAGGTGCAGCTTGCCGAGGATACGGTTGTCGCGGCGAACATGGCAATGCAGCGGATTGCACAAATGCCTATGGCGTATAATGACTACCTGCGTGAAACGGCGCTGCAGGAGGAAAAGGAGAGGATACTGTCAGGTGACATCAGCAAGCTGGAATGCAGATTTAAAGCGTCTGAGGACGACTTACTCAGTGCTGTTGACGCTCCCAATGCAACGGTGCCCATGACGGGTTGTGGGATATCCACGGCGGCTGCTGAAAGTGGCAAGGAAAAATCGGCCATTGTCTCCGTTGAGGTTTTTCCTGAGGAGGAGGAAAGGAATACACCGGAAATACCTACAACGTGGAGAACGGAAGGAGCTGGGGAAATGCACCCGGAATATTTTACGACGCCCAAGCATAGCAAACTACGGGATCCTGGGACGAGTCTTGCTGCAAGTGACGAGGGGTTTGATACTTTGGGTGACGACTATCTTTTTGAGGACGCCATTCATCCCGATGAGTATGCAGGCGGATTTGACTGCTACAACGTAGGTGAGACCCCGTCGACTGCCCTTGCAGGTCAAGAGGCGGGCAGTAACCTCTCCGTGATGGCGGTAGTAAGGCCACCAACAGCTGACTTACAACGCCTCATCAACTCTGCTTCGCCAAGCGAAGAGGAGAGCGACATGGTTTACTTCACTCGAACCCTTATTCCCACAGAAGCGGATTTACGCAAACTAAACTTGGTAGGCGGGCATAACAAGGTTCGATACATTACATACAGCTCCCTTCGTGGTGAAGTGGCAGTGGAGGCCAATGTTTACCTGTGGGATAGTACCGATCGCCTTGTTGTAAGCGACGTGGACGGCACAATCACCAAGAGTGACTTGTGGGGCCATCTCATGCCGCTACTTGGCCGAGACTGGACCCATTCAGGCATCTGCTCACTGTACAGTAAGATTGACCGAAATGGGTACAAGTTTGTCTACCTCACTGCCAGAAGTGTTTCGCAGGTAGGCATGACACGTAATTTCCTTTGGAAAATTGAGCAGGATGGGTTTTGTCTGCCAAAGGGTCCTGTGCTGACGGCCCCGGAGCGTTTTTTTACCGCGTTGACGCAGGAGGTCTCAAAGAAGTCGCACGTATTTAAAATTGCATGCCTCAAAAGCGTCTTGGATACATTTCCGCCGCACAGTAAGCCGTTCTACGCCGGTTTTGGCAACCGCTTCAGCGACGTGGTGAGTTACACCGCCACACAAATTCCACAGCACAAGATCTTTATCATTGATCCTAACAGCGTGCTGCATGTGTATAACGTGAAACAAACCTTCAAGAATCTTGCCCATCTTGTCGACGTGACATTTCCACCTGTTGTGAAGCGAATTCAACCGCAACTTCAGTCTCCTCATACACAGTGCAAAGCATCTGGTCATCCGGCAGCATCTGGTGGCTTGGCCGACGCTGAAGTGGGCAGTAATGGTTCCTTCACCGCTTTAAATGGGACAGCCAGGAACGGGTTGCGTGGCCCCTTTTCCTCAGATGGGAGCGAGTCGCCATCGCCATTTTGCGGCGATGATGGCCGTAATGCAACCTTCTCCATCCCAGTTGATGCAGGATTTCTCGCAGAGGACAACGCGTGTCGGTGTCGCACGACGACTACCACCGCGCCGCCTGAGAGCCATGTGGAGGTGGCTATTGATCAAGAGTTTCACCCATTTCTGTACTGGCGTCTACAGCCAGCTGATCTCGTGACTACCAAAAAGGAGGTGCAAAAGGACGAGAAGGCCTGTACGGAGGCGAAGCAGCAAAAACCTCAAAAATCACGCAGATGGTTGACCTTCAGTCTTGGCACAAGCAGCCATAATAATAATAATGGTGGTGAACCCAGTCAAAAGGGTGGGGATGAAGTTAAGACACAACATGTTTATGGAGCGCCTGCGCCTGCACCAGCAGCAGCAGCGACAGACGTGCTTGACAGTGGTGCTACAAAAACGGAAGGACCATTGCAGGAGGTGGATCGAGTGGCTGAAAGCGGTTCTGCACTGGAAGAAGTCGCGAAGGAAATTGCTTAGGTTGATAGTGAAAACACAATGTGCAGGAACGGAACGTGGTGACATTGGATGCGGGAATGTGTGTGTGTGTGTGTGTGTGTGTGTGTGTGTGTGTGTGTGGCTGAGGCATCATCATGGCCATCATCATCATCTTTGCTATAGTTGGCAGTTTTCTGCAGCAACAATTCCAAGCAAAGCAGCCTCGACTCACATGACTGCGTCTTGTGAGGGGATTTACATTGGAGTTCAACGCGTCCTCCTCCTTTCCACCCTCCGCTTTTGTGGGAACGGGGGTGCAGAATGGTGTAACGCAAAGTGGGTTGATGGAGGTCAACGTGTTTTATACGTATACTTTTTTTTTGTCTTTGTTTTTTGTTTTTGTTTTGTTTTTGTTTGATGTATGTGTGTGTGCGAGTGTCAATGGGTTAGTTGTGTCTCCTCCTGGCCTCATAAGTGGAGGGGAGGGGCCGAACATCACCAAAGTGAATTGACACTGCCTGAGTGATGAAGTCGATAATATATATATATATATATATACATACATATATATATATATATATATATATAATGCCTGTGTGCATGTTGGTCGGGCGTGTTGCGGTTGTTACGAAATGACACAGAGGTGGCTGCATCACCAGCTGCAGGTGGCGGAGCGCGGGTGGGTGACGGTAGCGGGCGGGGGTTATGGGACAAGGGAAGGGCACGCACACCAAAAAAGAAAAGAAAGCGAGAGGCTGCCAGGGTTGGACTCCTTTTTGGTACTGTCTCTCTGCTGGTGTCTAACCGAGTGCTTTTTTTTGCATCGGGATCGGGTGCTGTCCGTGTCGTGCCTTCACTCACCCTGAAGCTGTTATTGGCCTCGCTGTGATGCGCACCACTTCTTTTTTCTTTCATGCTGGTGCCGCCTTTTCTCCTTTTCTAGCTATCATTGCATTAACAACTGTAATGCAGGTCCGTATTTGCGCGTGAGTTTGCGTTTGTTTACCTGCTGTGTTCGGTTTGCACTTTCTC